GTCCAAAGTACGAAAGACGAATTCCCACCATCCTTACTTCTAAGGAACATTCTAGTTGTACTTCTTCCAAGACATATTTTTTCATTCTTCTGGCAGTCCATGGCATATTCAGTATTTGCCAACATCATTATTCAAATCATTAGTTCTTCTTCGGTCTTCTTTATTCATTGCCCAGCTTTCGCATGCATATGTGGTAATTGAAAATACCATGGCTTGGGTCAGGCACAACTTAGTCTTGGAAGTAACATCTTTGCTCTTTAACATTTTAAAACGATCTTGAATAGTAGCTTCTAAAAAGATTAGGGTGGAAAATAGACTCTCCCAGCCCTGCATAAGTTGAAAGGAATCAAGAAGATGGTAGAATTTTGGGTATACAGGCCAAGGTGAATTCAACAGGTTGTTGAAACAAGGAGCAATGTAGAACACAAAAGGAGAGGATCAAGAGAACAAATAATTCAGTTGACCTCATGGTTTCATCATGATCTCATCCCCACATCAAATTGTCAGGAGGGTTTTAAATGTTGCCTGAGAGTTTATTTTTTTCAGGAATTACTGTGAGATGAAATGTAGCTACTTGACAGTAATCGAGTACTTTCTCAAGCTATGTTCCAAAGAATTGCATCAAAAATAGAATTATAATTGGTTGCAAGAATTATATCAAAAGTGAAATTAGAATTTAGACTATTAGTGCATGTGTCATTATAAATTTTAAAGATATTTTAAGTTGGTGAGACTGTTATTTCCATATCATGATGTTTGTGTTGTTATTGTTATAACTCAGATAGGAAGCAAACACCTCCCCCCCCCCAAAAAAAATGTTCAATACAGGTATATAGATGTCAAGCTGCAATATTACAATCCTCATATTGACTTGTTAATAATTAAGAACTTTTCCTTTAGTGTCCATCTTCCTAGATCTAAACCAGAAAACTTTTTTTTTTTTTTAAATGTTATCATTTGAACAAAATCTCATTTAAATTTTTACATAAATGAGTTGTGGTTTCCAGAATTTAAATATCTCAAGTAGCATTCAAGTTTCACATTGCATAAAAAATCAGTCAGTCACTTTTCAAGTCTATGCATTGCCTTGTACAATTCCCCCAAAACTTGGTGAAATTGACACATTGAAGGTGATATGTGTGACGTGCAAGTGTCCGTGGGTGTGTGATTTCTAGAGGGAAACCATGTTCTTTATTTTCTCATTTTCTGAGCAACGGATGGTGGCCAGTATGTTCCTCTCTCATCAGATGATGAGGATGCAGAGGAGCATAAAGATGTTGGTCTTGCAAAGAATCCTCCCTCCCACGGTCCACAGTGCTAAGATTGTCAAGATGGAGAGCTTGAATACACAGAGTATTAGTTCTTTCTCAGAATGATACTGGCTTTCTAGTGCTGTGATCTCTTACTACCCCTATAAAGATCTTGGCTGCTTTTTTCCCCACGACCCGCCTGTCAGTTTGTTGTACTGTGGTGGACTGTGTATTGCTGTGATGCTGGAAACCACCATTATTTCAAATACCAGCACAGAAACCTATGGTAGACAGGTTTTAGCAGAGCTTCCAAAATAGAAAGAAAGGTTTGATGATCTAGTTCTGAATGTAAGCCAGTGGAAACTTGATGGATCACAACAGAGCATTGTCCCATATAGTATGAGAAGGTGAGCCTCCTAGGTTGGAAGGCACTCAAAATACACAGTGGCCAGAACAGTGGGCTCACACATACCAATGGTTGTAAAGATGGTTGCAGGACTGGGCAACATTTTGTCTGTTGTACATGAGGTCGTTATGAATCTGAGCTGATTCAATAGCAACTAACAAGAACAAAGACTATGAGTCAGGGGATTGGCCCAAACTTTGTTTGTAAACTGTGGGAGCAGCTTATTGGAGATGCCTGTGGCTTCCTTCTCTATGCTCCTTCCCCATAGGTCTCATTTGGCACCTGCTGGGTAACAAGAGTTCATGCTCTGATCTTGCCTGAGCTCCCAGTGCCTCTGCACCATTTGACAGCTGGTTGTATGCTCTGACTGGATGAGGAGGGCCTCACCATCTGAGGAGTGCTGCTGCCCTCTTTGATGTGGAACCAGGGCCCTCTACTCAGAAGCTTGGCTTTGTGCTCATGACATGCTGTCGTCAGCTGGGCTGGAAGGGAATGCTGGGTCAGGCATTGTTCTGTGAGCTTTCTCTGCCCCTTTTGAACTTTCCATCAGGCCACAAGGATAGCCTTGGAGGCTCAGAAATACACTTCTTGCTAATGCAGTCACCTCACACCATCTGTGCCTGTGTGACCACTCAGACAGGAACATCAGTTCAGGGAATGCATAGCTCGTGAATCAGGAAGACATTTACTGTGGTAAATGGCTCCCTTTTGTCAGTTGCTGTAATAGAAGAGCCTGAGAAATATACTCTTAGCAGTTATGGGGAAAAGGAGGCAGCCAGTTTACAATTATCTGAGGATTCCTTCTCTACTTTGTGAGTTCCCTAGCTTTATAGTCATTTCTCATTTTGCTACCTACATTGAGGATGAGCATAGCAACAGAAGGATGTACACATTTATTTGTTTTTCTCTTATTTAAAAAAATAAAAAAGTCTGATAAAGTTTAGGGAAATTGGAGACTGAAACCTAAAATGAGATTTGAGGATTATTTGTAGACTGTATTTCTCACTTATCATATCCAGAGACAATCAACAATTGTTTGTATCCTCTTCTATTCTTGTTCAGGAAGATATTTATCTTCAACACAATGAAAGATAGGATTTCTTTGTTACTTTTCCTGCAAAGGGATTTTTCTTAAAAACGGAAGTAATGCTCACCTTGATACACAGTATATTCCAGTGAAAGCAGCAGGGAAAGGGTCAGATTGGCCTGGGTTTTAACCCCAGCCCTTCCATATCTACCCGTGTCACATTGGGCAAGTTATTTAACTTCTCTGCAGCTCATTTTCCTTATCTATAAGGTGCATATGGAGTCCTGGTTGGTGCAAATCGTTAATTTTCACCTGCTAACCAAAGGGCTAGGAGCTCTGGTAGCATAGTGCCTATGGTACTTGACTGCTAACCTTCAAACCCACCAGCCACTCCTCGGAAGGAAGGTTGGGCAGTCTACTTCCGTAGTGATGCTGCCTCGGAAACCCAAGGAGGGGTCACCATGAGTCGGGTCTGACTTGATGGCACATAACAACAACAGCAACAACAATCAAAGGGCTGGAGGTTTGTGTCCACCATAGACCTTGAAAGAAAGGCCTGGCAATCTACTTCCAAAAAAACTAGCCACTGAAAACCCTGTGGAGCACAGTTCCACCCTGACACACACACAGTCCCCATGAGTGGGAATTGATTTGATGACAACAGATATATAGGTAATGACCATTGCCAGAGTTTCTAATTGTCAGGACCACATTAGAAAATGTTTATGGATGACTAGCAGAAGACTCAGCTCCTGGTATGCTTTTAATATGGATTAGATTCCTTTTGAGAGGAATTTGGTGCAGAGGCAGCCTACCAGGCCCAAAGCCTGTCCCTGCCTCTTTCTAGCTAGATAACCTTGAACAAGTTATTCAACTTCTCAATTACCTTTGTTTCCTCCCTTTTAACTTAGTGATGATGATGATGGTGATAGTAACATTTCTTCCCAACCCCCGGATTGTTGGAGTAAGTGAGTTAATGCACCCAAAGCTCTTAGAAGACACAGTCCAGTATAGAACAAGTGCCTTATAAGCCATAGTGATTTTTTGAAAGGGTATTTCCTCTATTCTTTCAGTTTCTCTGGAAAGTCTTTGCTCAATCAGCTCTTTTTGCATTGAAAAAAAAAAGAAATTTTAATTGTGAATAAGGTTTAATGTCTCTTCTTGTATTTATTTACTCTTTGCACAAATACTTGAGTGCCAACTATGCCAGGTAAATGACCCTGGGATGAAATCATGAGGTCAGGAACAGGGAGTACGAGAACAGATCAAAATAAATCCAAATCTTCACCCTCTCCCACACAGGATGACTTGATGAATAGTGGTTTAGGAAAAAGAAAGTGAGATTAAACAGCATTTTTCATGTTCCACAGATAAAAAAAAATAAAATAAAATGACAGGTAATCTCCCCTAAACCTGAGATAGTAAACTTAGAGCAGGCCTAGTGCAAAATTCCCAAAGACCAACTTTAGCTCCAACCTCTACTGAATTACAAGCTCCATGAAGGCAGATTGAGGAACTCATAGTCCCCTCAGCACCTAGCAAGACCCTACACAAAGGCTGAAATGGTTCCTGGAGTTGAATTCAGATGAATTCACATTCCCGAGACCTTAAACTAAATATTATCTTTCTGTGCCTCAGTCTGATACAAGCTGTGGGCACAGCACCAACATATAATACACATCTATTGAGTATTTGTTGATTGATTTTGGTTGGTAATTTCCAGTTAAACATATACTCACATACCATCCTCATTTTTTTTCTAGTTAGAAAAGCTGACAAATAAAACAAGTCTGATCTCTCTAGTCAAGTTCTAGACTCTCAATGTTCTGTCCCAATGTTGTTGTGTTGTTTTTTTGTGCCATCGAGTGAGACTGACTCATAGCGACCCCTCCTTGGGTTTCTGAGGCAGTGTCACTACGGAAGTAGATTGCCCCATCTTCCTTCTGAGGAGTGGCTGGTGGGTTTGAACCGCCAGCCTTCTGGTTAGTAGTCAAGTGCCTTAGGCACTATGCTACCACAGCTCCAATAGCACACAGAAAAAGAAGAAACTAAAAATTGTCTCATGCTATAGATATTTAAAGGAGCTCTGGCGGCATAGTGAATAAGGCATTTGGCTGCTAACCAGAAGGTCAGTGACTCAAACCTAACAGCCACTCCGTGGAAGGAAGATCAGGCAATCTACTTCTGTAAAGATTTACAGCCTTAGAACCCCAGTGAGGGTCACAATGAGTCAGAAGCAACATGATGGCTGTGAGTTTGGTTTTGGTTTTATAGATATTTAAATTGTCAAGTGTGTCTCTCTCTTATAATTTCACAGCTCCGGAGGTCCTCGCCCAGAAACCTTACAGCAAAGCTGTTGACTGCTGGTCCATCGGGGTGATTGCCTACATCTTGTAAGTATTGCTTTGCCATTTTGGCTTGGGCTACAAACTGTTATAGAAATATTAGGACATCTGTAAAAGAAATCACAATAAGGAAAAATGTAATAAGAATAGAAACAGCTTTGGAGTTCCTTTTGTGCCCTATCCATATAACCATGAAATTGAAGTCATGGGCCATAGGTTCTATGCAGTTGTTTGAGGGTGATCAATTTTGGTTTTTGTTGTTGTTGTTGATTTTTTTATTATTATTACTCCACTTTTAGATTATTTTCAAATTATTTCTTTCAACAGTTATATTTTCAAATGTTTATTATGGAACATACTTTTAGGATGGGGTTAAGCCAACTATTTATCTGATTGACAGGAAGTTAATTTCCCCTCCTCCTCATCTCCAAGGAAAGAAATGTTTTCTGGCAGACAGACCTCTACACACAGGGTAAACTTAGGGGGTTATGATCAGAGACAGGTCTGACAGTATGTGGCATCTGGTTTTCCTTGGAGGAATGCTGGAAACATCCCTTCAGAATTGACTTTGTCTCATTATTTGGGAAGCAAACGTTCTTCCTACAGCACATTCAGCTAGGCAGCTTTTGTAGTTTAGTGTGGATTTAGGTGACAGCTCCTATAGATTCTTACCATTATCGTAGGAGAATTTTACCCATTACAATGTACTTGGCAGGTAGGGCTCCCACTTACACACGCAAATAGGTAAAGGCCATATTCTTCTGAGCTATAAAACTAAGAAATTGCATTTATATTTTGCTTCCACTTCCAAAACACATTGACCGTCTTCTACAGTAGTTTCATTCTTTTGAGGGGTATGGGGTTTACAGGTCTTCTTGAAAACTGAGTGAGAGCTGTGGGCCCTCTTCACAGATAAAGTCATATATACATACAATTTTGCATGCCATTTTAGGGGGGCTTCTGGGTAAGCAAACACTTCACATGGGCCCTGTGTTTGTTTACCCTGCTTCCAAAAATCCTCAACTAAAATTTTTATCAGAGGTCCTGCCTTGCCCAGCTTGACAGTGAAAAAGTGTAAAAAAATGAATGCTAGGCCAATCCCCTTGCTACAAAGGATTGAATCTGGTATAGGCTAGCAAACTCTCTCAGGGGTTGGGCAAAAAATGGGCTTTTATCTGGACTCTGCTTATTTTTCTTTAATATATGTTCTGATTCTTTTTTTATTTTGTTGTGATGAAATGGGTATTTGTAAAAGTTTGCCATTTTAACCATGTTTAAGTGTGCAATTCAGTACATTAATTACATTCACCGTGTTATGCAACCATCACTCCTATCCTTTCCTAATGTTTTTTAATCACGCTTAACAGAAACTCAGTACCCCTTAAGCAGTAACTCTCTATTTCCTCCTCCTCCCAGCCCCTGGTACCAAAAACCAAACAAAACTTACTGCCATTGAGTCAATTCCTACTCATAGTGACCCCCGTTGGGTTTCCAAGGCTGTTAATCTTTATGGAAGCAGACTGCCTCATCTTTCTTCCATGGAGTGTCTGGTGGGTTCTAACCACCAGCCTTTTGGTTAGCAGCTAAATGCCTTAACCACTACACCACCAGAACTCTTTAGCCCCTGATAACCACTAATAAATTTTTATCCCAATGTATTTTGCCTATTCAAAATAGTTCATATAACTGAGATCATACCATATCTGTCCTTTTGTGTCTCACTTATTTCACTCACAGGAGCCATGGTGGCACAGTAATTAAGCACTCAGCTACTAACTGAAAGAAAAGTCAGCAGTTTGAACCCACCAGCTGCTCCATGAGAGAAATATGTGACAATCTGCTTCTGTAAAGAGTGCAGCCTTAGAAACTCTTGGGGCAGTTCTACTGTGTCTTATAGCATTGCTATGAGTCAGAATTGACTCAACAGCAGTGAGTGTGGGTGGTATGTATTTCACTCAGCAAGCTGTTTTCAAGGTTCAGCCGAGTCATAGTATGTATCAGAACTTCATTTCTCTTTAGGGTTCAATACTATTACATTGTAAGGATAAACCATATTTTGTTTATCTATTCATCTGTTTGTTTTGATTCTTGAGCTACTATTCTGATATGCAACAAGTATCTATAGATGCCCATTGAGTTTGCATATATAATTATTTCCCTGAAATCTTGACATTGGAGTAGGATGTTGCTATGGGTATTAGGAGGTGTTCCTTAGAATTCTGTACCTGGGTTGGTGTTGATGGCACTAGGTTGGCACTGGGTTGAACTAGTAGTAGGAGTTAGAACTCCTAGCTCTCAGTCTCAGATTGTTGCTACTTGCCAGTGATCCACTGTGCTGGTCTCCCAGGCCCATTCATTGTCTGAAGACTTATGAGTCAGGCCACTAAGCAGACTGTGACCAACAGGCAGCTCACTGGGGAGGCTGGCCACCCACAGGGATTTGCACAGAGCTCCTTATTGCTCATATCAACCATAATGGAAAAACCATTCTCCTCTGCAGCTTTTTTGTAGCATGATGCTGTTATTTTCATTTGATAAACCAGGCACACTGAGTTATCAGACTGCAGCAAAAGTGACTGTGATAGGCCATGGCCCCAAATTTTTCTCCTCTCTGCATGCCATGTAAACATTCTTCATTGTCATTTGATGATTTAGCTCTCTTTTGATTCCCACACTCATTTTTATGCTATCCATCATTTGGAAGGGGAAATATTTTTTCCTATCAAGGGTACTCATCTTTTAAACACAATTGATAGGTCCTTGTTCTGCCAAGAATCTTCCTTTGGATTTAGGACTTGTGAAAAACAGCTTTGCCTGCATAGCTTAAGCTATTGGGAAGGATTGAGAAGAGGGTGGGCTAGGCACCACAATGAGCATATTGGCATCCATTTTTATGAGGTTGGCTCAGCCTAGAAGCACAGCGTCTTATTGATCAAACTCAATTTTATGCTAACACATAGTCTGCCTTTCTTCTCACAACTTCAGGTAGATTATTTAATGCTCACTTGCCCAAATTTATGTTCAGTAATATAAAATGCTGTGGAGAAATTCAGCAAACTTCTTAAATAAACTGAGAAAGAACATAAGGCAGTTCCAACTCCCAAACTGAAGGTAGGTCGAAGGCATTAGGCAGGCTAGGCTAGGATGGACTTGACCATATATGGAGAGGACACTTACCCAAGCTGTGACCTCTGACCTCTTAATTTTGTTCAGTTTTTTAAAATTAGGTCTCATAAAAGTTTATTTGCTAATGCGTACAGCTTAATTAGCATTGGAGAAGGGGAACTGTGAATGCCTAATGTGCATGCTGTATCTATTTTCTGAAACAAAGGTTGATCCTGGTCAATGTAGCCACCATTTTGAACCATTGACAGCTGGCTCTTTAGGGACTCCAGATGTCCCAAGGAGAAAACATGAAACTAAGTTTCAGTAGAAGAGTCTCACTTATTTCACTCACAGGAGCCACAGTGGCACAGTGTAATCATTGAGCCCCAGTGAAATAACCATGCCTGAGTTATCATAAAGGAGCTCTGGTGGCATCATGGATAAGGCATTTGGCACCTAACTAGAAGGTCAGCAGTTCAAACCCACCTGCTGCTCCATGGAACAAAGATGGAGTAGTGTAGTTCCATAAAGATTTACAGCCTTGGAAACCAAACAAGGGTCACTATGAGTTGGAATTGACTCAATGGCAGTGAATTTGGCTTGGCTTTTTGAGTTATTGTAAGGAGCTCTGGTGGCATGGTGGTTAAGGCATTAGTCTGCTAACCAAAAGGTTGGCAGTTCAAACTCACCAGCTGCTCCACAGAAGACAGACAGAGGCAATCTGCTTCTGTAAAGATTTATAGCCTTGGAAACCCTATGGGGCAGTTCTGCTCTGTCCTGTAGGGTCACTATAAATCGGAATCAGCTCGATGATGGTAGGTTGGGTTGGGTTTTAGAGTTACTGTAATGGCTATTACTACTACAAGTATAAGAAGTACTAACGTTTGTAAGAATGATTAACTAGCATTACCAGCACGCAGCAATGATTTTTTTTTATATTCATTTGCCAGGTGGGGCACACTGCCTGGATCAGGTCACCATGGGGTTAGAGTCCAGACTTTGGTTTTAGAAGTTTAGAAACAAAATTAGATCTGTTTATTCATATTGCTATATCCCAAGTAGTCGAAACAGTTCATGCACTCAGCTCCTAACCAAAAGGTTGGCGGTTCAAGTCCACCCAGAGGTACCTCAGAAGATAGGCCTGGCAATCTACTTACAGAAAATCAACCATTGGAAACACTATAGAGCATGGTTGTACTCTGACATACTTGGGCTGCCATGAGTCAGTCAGTTCAACAACAACTGTTTTTAGTTTTCATGTTATTCAAATGATCCTGGTGAGTTGATTCCCACTAACCAGATTCAAAAGAGACTTAAACTGGAGTGCCAATTTACTAAAGCATAATGAGATTTGTGCCCCTCAAGGTAATTGGATATGGATGTCAGCAGAGTATGATACTCTCTCCCTATAGGAAATGCTCCATGAGAAACCAAATTAAAACCAGGTTTCTTTATGAACAAGAAATCCGAGCAGTGGGGTTGGATGTCTTCGGATATTTTCACAAAGTCTGTATTAGTCTCCAGGTCACCCTTCTCTACCAAAGGGGCATTTCTGCCAAGAAGCACAGCTATTCCTATTAGCTAATCAGTATGGCCATGTGCTGACCAGTCCTTATACCCTCCTCCTTTCTCCTACCTTGAAGACAGCCACCACCTGCCTTTTTTCTTTTATCATTCTACCACCATCATTTTTATCTCAGCAGACATTGATTGTTTGTTATAATCCTCAAGTTTACTGATATTATATCGTTGACTGCATTTCATTTTAACTGTTTTCCAAGGATTTTCAGGAAGGTGCCATGATCTCCCATCCATTGTAGATGGTGAATGGATCCTGTGGATGGTAAAATGCCATTTGTGGGTTGTGAGTCCCTGTAGCTTCAATCTCAGGCACAAGTACTGCTTGACCTTATTGCAGCTTTGTTTCTGGGCTCATGACCCTC